TTCAATTCCGAGTTAGATCTGTGTTGTTAAAAAAAACAATAGGCAGTTATCCGATGACTGCTGCTATACTCCAGATTCCCAAAAGATTCTTATTTTCTTGCAGTCATATTTACAAAGCATTATAACTGTTGTGCATTCTCTAAAGCCTCAGTGAGTTAGATATGCAGAATTTTCAAAGTGTAGGGTACTGAACATCAGATATCTATCTATATGCTGGTTTGGTAGAAACAATCGCCTATATCAATTTAACATTCCTTTCACCATTAACTGTAGTGAAGCTAATCACTGCGCCACAGTTAATATGAGCAGACTATGCTAGAAAAGAGGCCATAAAAAAATCAAGCTATTGGTGATTGGTATTCAACAATCTTAGTGGACAGTGCAGTCTGGGTGCAAACCTGATCAAGCTCAATTTTGATGCCCGCCCCAGACAATTACTGCTATCCCTGCTTGTTTGTGCACGCTGCAAGCGTCACGCACAAAGAATATGTCACTCAAAGTAAGGAGCCAGATAACAACTAGTGCCTTCAGGAGAGGATGAGAAAAGAATGGGGGATTGTGCTTCACTGCTGGGACTCCAAACAAACTCTTTATCATTCAATGAATCATAGAACTATACAGCACAGAAGGAGGCCATTCAGCCCATCATGTCTGTGCCGGCTCTTTGAAAAGAGCTCTCCAAATCAATCCCATTCCCCCGCTCTCTCCCCATAGCCCTGCAAACTTGTCCTTCCCAAATAATTATCTACTTCTCTTAAAAGTTGTTATTAAATCGGCTTTCACCACCCTTTCAGGCAATGCATTCCAGATCCGAGCAACTCGCTGTGTGAAAAAATCTCTCTTCCGTTTCTTTTAAAAATTATTTTAAGAGAAATAAAAGGGCAAAATCTTGGGCAAGTTTCCTTACTCCACACACCCAATAATAATCACTCCAAAACAAAACAATAATACATTAGTCATTTTCAATCCACAACTGTTTGTGGGACACTGCTATGTGCATTTGGCTGCCGTGTTTCGCCCACAAATATACGGTCAATTCACTTTACAGTATATTCTGTGAAGCGCTTTGAGACATCTAGAAGGGCGTGAAAAGCGCTATATCAAATGAAAGGATTATTATTATTAAACCAGTGCCCTCGGGTTACTGAGCCAAATGCCAGTGGAAATAGTTTCTCCTTATTCACCCTATTGAATCCCCTCATAATTTTGAAAACTTCTATCAAGTCTCCTCTTAACCTTATCTGCTCAAAGGAGAATAATCCCGGCTTCTCTCGCCTCTCCTGATAACTGAAGTCCCTCATTCCTGGTACCATTCTGGTAAATCTCCTTTGCACTCTCTCCAATCACTTGACATCCTTCCTAAAGTGTGGTGCCCAGAAGTGAACACAGTCTCTCGCTGAGGCCTAACCAGTGTTTTATGAAGGTTCATTAGAACTTCCTGACTATTGTATTCTATGCCCCTATTTATAAAGCCGAGTATCCCATAGGCTTTTTTTTAAAAACAGCTTTATCTCCCTGTCCCGCCTCCTTCAAAGATTTACTTATATGAACCCCCAGGTTTCTCTGTTCTTTCACCCCCTTTAAGATTGTACCATCAGTTTATATCGCCTCTCCTCATTCTTCCTCCCAAAATCACTTCACATTTCTCCACATTAAACTTCATCTGCCACTTGTCTGCCCATTTCACCATTCAGTCTATGTCCCCTCCAGTCTGCTACTACCCTCCTCACTGTTTACTACTTGTCCTAGATTAGACAATAGTCCAACAATAACTCTTAGACTTTCCATAGGTCTACAAGTTATATCCATTTTAGTCTCTGAAAAACTTCACTGAACTAACAAAGTAGGCAAACTGAACTGCTTAAACCAAATCTTGCTTGAGCTACATTCAATGCCATAAATTTATAAACTACACAATCACAACATGAAACTATCCTTAATACTTATGAAGGGTATTCCAAAAAGAAAGATGATAATTAAGCAATTATGAGCAATAAAGCTAATTATTCTAGTAGGGTCGACTTGCAGTTTCAAACCAAGCATCCCTTAGTCAAAGGGTCAAAAATACAGCTTTGAAATTAAACTTGATTATTATTGATATACAATAAAATATTTGTTTATATACCGCCTTTCACTTTAGGAGGACATCCCAAAGCGCTGTGCACCTGAGCTGGGGTGGGAGGGTGTGTGGTGGGAAGATGGCCGAAAGCACAGTCAAAGAGGAGGGTTTTAAGGCAGACCTTGGAGGCGAGAGAATGAATGAAGGGAAGGGCAAGGTGAAGGGACTGTGGGATGGAGTTCCAAAGGGTGGGGCAGAAAGGCTGAAGGCCCGACCACCGATGGCGAGATGGGCAGGACAAGGGACATGCAGTATGTCAAGCGGAGGGAGCGGACAGGCTGGCAATGGGGTTAGCAGGTCACAGGGAGGAGCAATGCCGTGGAGGGTTTTGAAAGCGAAGAGATTTTGAACTTAATCCTCTGGGTGATAGGAAGCCAGTGGAGCTGGACGAGGATGGAGGTGATGTGTTCATGGAACCTCGTGTGAGGGACACGAGCTGCAGAGTTCTGAATAATGGGAAAAGTTGGGAAGACTGAAAAGCGGGGAGTTGGCGGAACAATTTTCATAAGAAGTTTTACATCACTTTCCCCAGTGGTTGAGTGTTCAGCCACTGCACATTTGTGAAAATGAACTCAAAACAGTCCCATGTTCACCGTTTTCAGCTGAGTTAGCTCATCTCGACCTGGCCTTTACAATTGGCTTTAGGGAAAGGGAAGAGTACACACTCAGATATACAACTGCTCAATTATCTCCTCTGTGAGAGACCAATATTATAATAATAATCCTAGCATTTGATATAGCGCTTTTCACGTCTTCTAGACATCTCAAAGCACTTCACAGAATATACTGTAAAGTGAATTGACCATATATTTGTGGGCAAAACGCGGCAGCCAGTTGCACACAGCAGTGAGCCACAAACAGTCGTGGGTTGAGAATGACCAATTTATCATTGTTTTGGAGGGATTATTATTAGGTGTGTGGAGTAAGGAAACTTGCCCAAGGTTTTGTCCCCTGCCTGGAATTGAATCCAGGTGTCTCGCTTGCAAGGCGAGCGCTCCAATAACTGAGCTACAGGATTCCACACTTATTACACTTATTGTGTGATACATTGGATAAGATAGGACTAGGTACAGATGCAAAGTCCAAGTCACAGATTACTAATGCTAACCGGTTAGGCTCACACAAGAATAGTTACTTGGATAGGTACAGCCGGTACTTTTGAAACTGTAATCCATCATGAGTCAGCAGCACATTCAGTAGAGTAAAAGAAATAAAGAGGGATGAATAAACAGAATTGTTGAATCATGCAACTTAAGTTATGAAAGGGCAGCAGAGTCAGGAGTCACACAATTCTTTTGTTCAAGTATTTTATCATTCTCATAATTAAAAATCTTGTGGAAGATCGCACACTTTTTGAATATCGCCAGAAAACACAAACATTTAACCCAAACGAGTTAATCTGTTCTACGAGTCCACCGTAAATAATGTTGAATATATGGAACAATTGAATATAGCATTTAAACCGGAAAGGGTATGAGAAGTGTAGCAAATTACTGCTACATTTCCAGTCCTTGAACTTTGAAAATATACTTTGAAAAAGGTTAACCTAGATTTTCCTGGTTTGGAAATCTACGTGCTTACATGCCATGGGATTTAGAAACCTTTATTAGCGTCGAACACAAGCTTCTGGCTACAACTGCTCAGAGACGCTGAAAAAAAACTACGCACTACTTCATCCACAACATTTTTTAAAAATATAAAGCAGGAGTTATCAATAAAGAGGGGTGAGGATGAGAGAGAGAGGAGAGGCGTGGGGTGAGAGTGGGTAATTTAGAAACACCTTATCTCATGTCACCCCTCTGCTGGGAGCATTGGGAGCATCACAGCCCTGGGGGGGGGGAGACAGCAGTGACCCTGTCCTCCCAGGGGCTTCTCTGTGAGTTAAAGAGCTGCCAAACACTGGGAGGAACGATACGACGAGGACTGCAGGAATGAGAGAGAAAAAGAGCGACCACAAATGGCACCGGATTTGTTAAAGGGTCAGGCGTGGGGTAACGATTTTAAAGCCATTCTGGGGCCACTGTCACTGCCGTTTGGGTCGAGTTAGAGAGAGGATGGGTGGGGGGGGGTGGAGAGAGAGGGTGGGGGGGTGGAGAGAGAGGGTGGGGGGGGGGAGAGAGAGGGTGAGGGGAGAGAGAGGGTGGGGGGGAGAGAGAGGGTGGGGGAGAGAGAGAGGGGGTGGGGGAGAGAGAGAGAGGGTGGGGGGAGAGAGAGAGGGGGGGGGGAGAGAGAGGGTGGGGGGGGGAGAGAGAGGGGGGGGGGAGAGAGAGGGGGGGGAGAGAGAGGGGGGGGGGAGAGAGAGAGGGGGGGGGGGAGAGAGAGAGGAGGGGGGGGGAGAGAGAGAGGGAGGGGGGGGGAGAGAGAGGGAGGGGAGAGAGAGGGTGGGGGGGGAGAGAGAGGGTGGGGGGGGGAGAGAGGGTGGGGGGGGGAGAGAGGGGGTGGGGGGGAGAGAGAGGGTGGGGGGGGGGGGAGAGAGGGGTGGGGGGGGGGGGAGAGAGGGTGGGGGGGGGGGGAGAGAGAGGGTGGGGGGGGGGGAGAAGGGGGGGGGGGGGAGAGAGAGAGAGAGGGGGGGGGGGGGGAGAGAGGTGAAGAGCCCGAACGTTTAGAAAGTTTCCCTCTCTCCCTCTCTCTCTCCCTCCCCTGTGGGCTACAGGGCGAGCCAAGAGAAGTACGCTGCTCAGCGTGGGAACGGGCAGGAGGCCGGGGTGTGCCTGTAACCGAGGCCGGGCCCCGCGGCTCAGTCACTGTCAGACACCGACCCCCTCTCTTTCTCTCCCTTCCCCCCCCCCACACCCACCCACTCCACCTCCCACCACCACCACCACCTCCATCCCATCCCTTCCCTTCCACAAACTGGAGACCTTCCCCAGCGAACACTCACATTCCTCCAACTCGTCCTGAGAATCCTCGTAATATAAAGACAGTCCTGCGAACAAAACAATTCAAAACAGCTCAGCGTCTGGGGTGTGAAAGGGGAAGGGCACCACCACCAAACCCCCCCCCCTCTCTCTCTCTCTCTCTCTCTGCAGTTGCAAGTTGGCGAAGAGATTTAAACCACCTACCCGCCATCTTGGGTGGAGGTGGGGGGGAGGAGGAGGAGGAGAGGGGAGAGGTTCCAGCGCTTCCGGCATCAGAGCGCCACACACTCCCGCAGCTTCAAACCCAACGGCGGGCGGGCGGGCGGGCGGGAGGGAGGAGAGAGGCCGCCGGAGATGGAAGCCCCGGAGGCGCTCCCGACCCCGACCTGAACGCGGGGGGGGGGGAGGAGGTGTGGGGGTCTATTCCGAAAAGAAAAGGCGCCGTGTGACGGGGAGGTGAGGGGAGGGGAGGGGGAGGGGCGGAGTGGGAGGAGGAGGAGGAGGAGGGGCGGAGGGTTCGCCGTTCAACAGACATTGCTCACGTGACGCGCCGCCGCTTCGGCCCCAATGCCGCCCCAATGGGGGGGGGTTGGGCGGTTTCGCGCCCAATCGGGCGGGTTCGTGCGGAAAACGAAACGGTTTTCGGGGGGCGGTGTGGGGGCGGGGGGGGCGGTGGGGGGACGGGACGGGGGGTGGAGCGAGTGCCTTCTTTTAAGTGTTTCTGAAATAGAACGATTGCTTGATTGGAAACCTGCGACGACGACGAAAACGAAAAAAAAAAACCACCCGCCGTTTTTCAAGCGCTTTCCTTATTACCGTTTCAAAGAAGGGCCGAGACCCTTAACCTGAAAGTGCCCACCGTTTGCTGCCGCCCATTAGGAGGCGACCGCATCGTCGTATTGGGCTACTTTTGGGGGATTCGCGCGCGCGCGCGTGTGTGTGTGTGTGTGTTGTATATATGTGTGTGTGTGCGGTTTTTGGGCTACAAAACGTACTTCGATCGCCGGTCGCTGCCTTTGCGCATTGGCGTCGCCCTCACGCCACTCAATCGCTAAAACACTATTGTTTTTTTTAAAAAATATATATCATTTCATTTAATTTTAATAATAATCATCATCATAAGAAGAAGAAGAATTTTTAATTAACAACAGGAGAGAGAGGGGGGAAAAAGAAAAAAAAACAGACGCACGCAAAACCCGGGCTGGATCCAGGCGGAGAGGGATCGCCGCCCGTGGAAGGGAAACCGACGGGACTGCGCGTCACGTGACGGCGGCGGTGTGCGCAAGATGGCGGCGGTTTCCCAGCGCGGGGAGAGGCTGCCGTGAGGCGTCCGCCCAGCGCCCGTCCTGCCCGCGGCTCCTCTCTCCTTTCCTCACACACACACACACCGCTAAACTCACCCCTTGTGTGCGCGTTTCGGAATTTGTGCTTTTTCTTTTTTTTATATAAAAAAAAGAAAGGGAGGGGGGGGGCGACAAAAAAATAATCGGAAGGGCCCGTAGATTGAGACGTCTGTGGTCACAGTTGGTGGTGGTGGTGAGGGAGAGAGAGAGAGAGAAGGAGGGAGAGAGCTTCTTTCTGCCTCTTGGACTTGCCCTCCGTGTGCGAATGTGACTGGAGTTGTGCAGCAACTCTCCTCTCCCGCGAGCTGCACCATGGCTTTGAGGGAACTGAAAGTTTGTCTGCTCGGGGTAAGTTGTCTGTGTGTGTGTGTTGTGTGTGTGTGTGTGTCTCTCTCTCTCTCTTTGCTGATTGAATTGAGTTCCATTACAATCTCCTCTTTTTTTTCTCTCTCTCTCTCTCTCTCTCTTTCTCTCTCTCTCTCTGCCCCCTTTCTGCCCGCAGAAAGGCCTGGGCCAGAGCGGTGGGTTTTGCCTTCGCCGCTCCTCGGCCATTCGTATTTTTTTTTAAAAAAAATTGGGGGGGGGTGTGTTTCACGACAGCAGAACAAGGCGACACGGGCTTAAGAGTCGTCAAGAGAGCGATTTCAGGAAGTTTTCTTCTCTTTAACTCAAGAGGATAATGGACGACTTGGAACGGGTTGTCAGGAAGGGTTCAACAACAACAACAACAACAAGATTCCATTTACAGAGCGCCTTTCACGTCGGGAGGACGTCCCGAGGCGCTGTACGGTTGGGTCAGGACACTGGTTTCATTGAAGAGGCAGCTTGACGCAATGGGTTGGGTGGGTGTTCCTGAAGGATGAGGGCAGTCTTGTGTGTGGGGATGTTCTCCTACAGTGAAACCACCCTCAGATATTTCGTTCTTTAATCTCTGTTATTCTGAACCCATCACAAGGAGAATAATTTTGTTCCCATTTTAGGGAATAATAATACTAATAGTCCTTGCATTTGATACAGCGCTTTTCACGTCGGGAGGACGTCCCAAAGCGCTTCACAGAACACACTGTAAAGTGAATTGACTGTATATTTGTGGGCGAACGCGGCAGCCAATTGCGCACGGCAATGTCCCACAAACAGTCGTAGATTGAAAATGACCAATTTATTATTGTTTTTGGTTTTGGAGGGATTATTATTAGGCTCTGTGTGGAGTAAGGAAACTTGCCCAAGGTTTCGCCCTCTGCCTGGAATTGAACTCGGGTCTCTCCCTTGCAAAGCGAGTGCTCTAACCACTGAGCTGCAGGACTCCACAAATGTAATAAAGAAAACGAATGTGGGAAAATGATATCCTTCCCCAACCCTATAGGTGTGTTGACAGTTCTGGAGTTAACAAAGTATTAAGTAGGTAACAGCTTAGTAAAATCCTAAAAGATTTTGAATTTCATTGAACTAGCTTAACTCCCACCCTCCCCATGTTCAAAGTCTCTCCGGTCATCTTTTCCTTCCCAACCCTCTTAGGTTCCCACCCTCCAGTTTGGGTGCCCAGGTAGCAGTGAGGAGTCCTTCTGAAGTTGAAATAGTTATACAGCTGTATAAATGTAAACTGTATCTCTGTATAATTTAGACATTTTACAGAGCTAGTTCAAATCCAACTTAATGGGCAGATCTGCTGGACCTTATCAAATCTTACCACTCTGCCCTCACCACGACAATGTTGGAGACCAAGGACAACCTTCTCCATCACCAACCAGCTCCACCGCCCACCCTCCCTTGCCTCGCCCATCCTCTCCAACGCCAACTCTTGAGGCGATGCTGGACTTCCTCAAAATCAAAGGCAAGGGAATCTGCTCAGCTGCCTCTGCACTCTGCCCAACTGTATACTACCCCCTCCTCATCTCTCCCACACACCCTGGCTCCCATGCATCCCTCCCTCCACATCTTTGAACCTGTCACCTCCCACCTGGATTACTCCAACGCACTTCTCGCTCGTCTCCCCAGCTCCACCATATACAAGATCGAGCTGATTCAAAACTTTGCTGCCCATGTACTGACCCGGACCAAACTCCGTACCGTATCTAACCAGTTCTGGGCAGACTCCACTGGCTCCCCATCACTGAACAGATCGTCTTCAAGATACTCACTCTTGTGTTCAAATCCATTCATTCCATGCCACCTCCCTACCTCTCCAACCTCCTCACTCAACAATCCACCACCCGGCGCTTCCACTCGACCCAACCTCTTGCTCGTCCCTCATACCCTCCGCCCCACCATTGGAGGTCATGCTTTCAGCCATTATGCCCCAAAACTCTGGAACACTCTCCCTCAATCCCTCCGTCTTGCCCCCTCTGTATCCTCTTTCGAGGCTCTGGAACTCCATCCCCCAGTGCCTTCGCCTTGCTTCCTCCCTTTCCTCCTTCAAGGCCGGTCTCAAAACCTTTCTCTTTGATCGTGCCTTCAGCTCCCCTCTCGACTCTCTTCCCCCTCCTCGCTCCCTCCCTTCCCTCCCCTCACCCTGACCATTTCCCCCCTCCTCGCTCCCTCCCTTCCCTCCCCTCACCCTGACCATTTGCCCCCTGCTCGGGTCATGACCCAACTGTGCAGCGCCTTGGGACGTCCTCCTGACGTGAAAGGCGCTTTATAAATGGAATCTTGTTGTTGTTGTTTCAAGTCCCCTCTTTCGTGTTCAACCGTTCTTACGGCCACCTCCCCCCGGCTCAGAGTCAGGCTCCGCCACTGTTAAGCACTCAGACACTACCCTGCGCGGAGGGTGCTATATAAATGCAAGTTGTTGTTGTTGTCTTCCACTCCTCTCTCTCACCACCACTATAACCCGCATGAAACCAACCACCTGCTCACTTGACCCCATCCCTCCCCCCTCCTTAACTCCCAGCTCCACCTCCTAGCCCCTCTACTCACAGACATCATAAACCTATCCCTGTCCACTGCCCCATTACCATCCCTTTGAAAACATCTGTCATCACTCCTATCCTCAACAAAAAAAAAAGCCCTCCCTGGACCCATCCCGCCCCATTTGTAATGTTCCTTTCCAATGTGCTGGAACAAGACATTGCTTTGTTGCTTCTCAGCTTTGCTTCTTCCTCTCCCTCCAATCTCTTCACGAACCCCATGCTGCTCACAGCACCGAAACAGCCCTGGTCAAAGTGACAAATGACATTCTGACCATCTTTGACCAGGGCTCCCTCTGCCTCCTCATCCTCCTTCACCTCTCTGCTGCCTTCGAAACCGTTAACCACTCTATCCTCCTGTACCGCCTCTCCTCTCACATCAACCTTCATGGTTCAGTTCCTACCTTTCACACCGTCTCCCCTTCATCTCCACAAATGGTTTCTCCTCTAGCTCCCGCACCGTCTTGTGTGGCGTTCCTCTGTCCTTGGTCCCATCCTCTTCAGTATCTATATGCTCCCTCTTGGTGACATCTTCCACAAACGTGGGGTCAACGTCCATATGTATGCGGATGACAACCAACTCTTTCTTCACCCTTTACTCCAGAGTGTCTGTCAGACATCAAGACCTGGACGAGAGCTAACTTTCTTCAATTGAACGTTAATAAAACAGAGGCCCTCCTGATTGGCTCCCGTCAGCACCTCCACATCTCAGGCGCTGACAGCATCACCATCCAAGGATGCACACTCATTCTCACTAAGCCAGTCCGGAAACTTCGTGCCTTCTTTGACTCAACTATCCTTTCTACCTCACATCCGTGCCGTGACCCACTCTGCCTTCCCCCACCTCCGCAACATCACCCAACTCCGCCACTATTTCACACCGCAGGCCGCCAAAATCCTCATACACGTGCTCATAACATCCAGGCTTGACTAAGAAAACTCCCTGCTTGTTGGCCTCCCCAACTTCTCCCTCCACAGGCTGCAGATCATCCAGAACTCTGCAGCCCGTGTCCTCTCCCGCACTGGGCTCCGTGACCCTATCACCCCCATCCTTGCTCAACCCCACTGGCTTCCCATCACACAGAGGATACAGTTTAAGATCCTGGTCCTAACCTTCAAAGCTCTGTATGGCCTTGCATCCCCCTACTTCTGCGATCTACTTACCCCCCAACCTGCCCATCCCACCGCTCAGTGGGCTCCAGCCTGCTTCAAGTCACCGCCTCATCCGCCCCGCCCCCACCATTGGCGGACAAACCTTCAGCCACTCTGCCCCACCCTCTGGAACGCCATCCCACAGTCCCTCTTCCTCGCCCCCTCCCTTGCCTCCTTCAAGACCCGTCTCAAGACCCTCCTCTTCGACTGTGCCTTCGATCACCCTCCTTCCCCCACCATGCCCTCCCCGATCCTAATTCCCAGCTCGGGGTCAAAACACTGACATCCAGCGCCTTGAGACGTCCTCCTGACCTGAAAGGCGCTATACAAATGTAATTTTGTTGTTATAGCCACTAAACTAATGACTGGAGGGTATTATTGCATTTTAAGTTGTTTATTTCCCACCCACCCACCACATTAGGACCCAGTTGCATAAATCCCATATCTCAGCCCAGCTTTGATGTGGCAAAAATAACTTTCCCATAAGCATAACTTATGCTAAGGCCAGGAGGTGATGCAGAAACTGGTTTGAAGATGTAACAATGACACGATCTCTTGTGGAAATCAGCTTCCGAAATCAAGCTTAGTTAAAAATGTACTTCACGTTAGTTAAAAGGCCAAGTGAGGTCATTGTTTTAAATTACTCTGTAGAAAAATAAATGTTTTCAATAAATACTGTATGACAGGTTCCCTAAACTAGTTGACCTCCCTTGGAGTAACAAATGCATTAAACATCTGTTGATCATTGAACCACTGCTATTGAGTAGGTTAGGGCGGATCCAATCATGTACATTATTTGCCTTCTGCCTTATATTTTCTTTAATTGGTTCTTATTTGCCAAATTCCGAGTGTAGGAATCACAAATTAGTAAATGGTTTCCTTATTTTTGAAAGTAGCAATCCACCTATCAATTTGTTCAGTGCATCCGCATCCGGCTGCAGAGTATATTATTATGATGTGGGAATTGCATCTTTTTCCATGTGTTATGTGAATGAGTTGCTTGTTCCTGTTCTTGTTTCTGCTCTGACTCACTGATATGGTGTGGTTAAAAACTTCATGAGAGCAGTTTTATAGGCCCTCCTTGAATCCTTTTGCAGTTTGGAAATATTGTGTACTTTATTGTGTGTTCATTCTTCACTGTCTGGTTCATCTAAGTTGCTTCTTTAAAAAAAAGTTTCCTTTCCAAACATTGTACAATATAAAAGCATCAAAAACTTCAAATGGATGAAGACTAATTTCTGGGTCTAGAATTTTATAAAAAAGGCAGCAGCTAAAGCAATTTTTATTTGCAAACATGATTTGTGAATCTTATCAATGCACCTAAAAAGTTATATATACGAGATCGAGTCTAATCCATCCTGACTGATGAAATTAAAGTTTCCCTTGTCTGCTGTCTCTAAAATCCTAAATGAGATTAGGAGGTCATTCCGGAAAGTTATAGGTCCAAAGTGCCTTCAGCACAATTGGAGAGATTTATTTGGGAAATGGAATGTTGCAGCAGTAGGATATTCTTTGGAGGATGAAGTGCATTTTATCCCAGTGGTGATTATTCTTGCTATTGAGTGCTTGACTATCAATCGGGAGTGAGAGACCTGGCTGATTTTTGCTTTAAACCCTTGCTTACAGTGACACTGAGATTGATTACAGCCCCAACTACTGATTAAACCGATTTAATGTTTGACACAATTGCCAGAATGTGCCATTGCACAACATTTTAAAACTAGGTGGTTGAATCAGATTTTTAAATCAATAACTTTTTAAAAATGGGTGGTTGAATCAGATAGTTTAGAAGCATTCAAGAGGAAGCTGGACCTTCACATAATGGAGAGGGGAATAAAGGTTACGGGAGGGATTAAAGAGTAGTGGGAGACTCGTGTGGAGAATAAATTGCACTGGCACAGACTGATTGGGCCGACTGGCCTGTTTCTGTGCTATACATTCTTTGAAATAATAATAATACATTCTTTGTAAACTTTGTAAATCAATGAATGTGTGCCTATTATAAGAACATAAGAATTAGGAGCAGGAGTAGGCCATTCGGCTCCTTGAGCCTGCCCCGCCATTCGATAAGGTCCTGGCTGATCTTCAGACCTAACTCTAATTACCTGCCATATCCCCATATCCCTTAATCCCTCTGTTTTTTAAAAATTTATCAGTCTCAGCCTTGAAGATGTTCAAGGACTGAGCATCTACAGCCTTCTGGGGAAGTAAATTCCATAAATTCACTACCCTCTGAGTGAAGAAATGTTTCCTCAACTCTGACCCTTAATTTTAAGACTGTGACCCCTGGTTATAGATTCTCCTACCAGGGGAAACAATCCCTCAATGTCTACTTTATCAGCCCTTTAAGAATCTTATATGTTTCAATAAGATCCCCCCTAATTCTTCTGTACTCTAGAGAATACAGCCCTAGTTTATTCAGCCTATCCTCGTAGGTCAGTCCCCTCATCCCAGGAACTAACCGAGTGAATCTACGCTGCACCCCCTCTAGGGCAAGTATGACCTTTTTTAAATAAGGAGACCAAAACTGCACACAATACTCTCGGTGCGGTCTCACCAAGGCCCTATACAGTTACAGCAAGACTTCCCTACTCTTGTATTCTAAACCTTTTGCACCATGGAACAGATTAGATGGATTGATTGCCTCCTGTTCCTACGTACTTTTGCGAGCAATGCAGCTTTATGCCCGGAAGCACAGTAATGTTGGATTGGAGCAACACAATGTATACTTCCTATTGAGGGGTGTGTGTGCACACACTTTTGGCATTCTGAAAAGTGAAGTGACTGTATTTGTAGTTGGATGTCACAAAAACGTGTGCATATTAATGTTCACAAACAGCCATTAAGTGAATGATCAAGCTATGTGGGGGATTGTTAACCATGGCACTGGCACTTCCTCCTTTATTGAATATTATTGTAGGATTTTTAATATCCACCTGACAGGTAGATGGACCTCGATTTAATGTGAAGAATGGTACCTCCAACATTGCAGTGCTGCACACGTACTTCATTGGATTGTCAACCTAGACTGTCTCAAGTTCTGATGTGGGTCTTAAAGTCACAATTTTCTAACCTAGATGCAGAGTGCTACCATTTGAGCCAGGCTTGTATCTGCCGCTTCTGGTGGAGCCATCCCTGCCCATAGTAATCTGTCACTTTGTGCCTTTAATACAGTTAGCCATTTGACATTGAGCCCGAGTTGCTTAAGTGCACAAAGGCCTCTGCAAACTTGCGAGTTGTTGCTTCAATACACTATTTTGTTTTCACAATCAAATGCAAGGATTATTATTTAAATTATAAAAATTCTCTTTTCAGACATAGAAGTGATTAAAAACTAGTTTCAGTGTTCTTTATTTTGCTCGGAAGGCCAGCTAAAGTTTTGCTTCTCTTTTGGTTTTGCCTTTTTGGCAAGTTAAGCAGCAAAGTTGAGAAGCTGGTACTGATTTTGTTTTCACTTCAAATTCAGGATACAGGTGTGGGGAAGTCGAGCATTGTATGGCGGTTTGTAGAAGATAGCTTTGATCCCAATATCAATCCTACAATTGGGTAAGTTAACTTTTTTTTAGAAAGAAGTTGTTAATAGCATTTATTAGGAAGTCATTACATGTAATATACATTTTGATCTTTATTTGTATTCAGGGCATCATTTATGACTAAGACCGTGCAGTATCAAAGTGAGTTGCACAAGTTTCTCATCTGGGACACTGCTGGCCAAGAACGGGTGAGTGGAGGAAGCGCTGTTTAATTGGAACAAGTTTTTCTTCGTATTGTATTTTGAAAGCTGGTAATTTCATGAGAGTTGCTGTCATTTCTGAAACTCTTCCTAAAACTTACCTTATCTCTGGGAGAGAGAATTAGCTGCTGTTTAGGCTCCATTTGATATTTACTTTTGAAAGTGTTTCCACAATCAACGTAATCCACAATCCCATCTTCTGACTAAAGAAGCCTCAGATCCAAACTCTGCTCCTGTCAAGAGACGTTCAGACTGAACATTTGAAATGGCACAGCACTGTTGGTGATTCAAAGAATTTTTCTGAAATAATATGTGACTCAAGTAAAGATGTTGTAAAGCAGCAATTTGTTTTTTTAGTGGACACACGCAGTGTCTAAGACTTCCCTTTTGCTTCCTTTGGTTAGACATCATTGAAATGTAGGGCTGTAGGTGGGTACCAGATCCAATTCTGGTCATTAAATCATCTCTAACGGGTTAATGAGAATGATTCAGTGACAAATTAGCCTTGGATATTTCGCTGCCTTCAGAGAAAGATTGATTCTGTTTGGTGCCTTTGTAAATTATGCATCTGAGGTCAGAATCTTAGCTGTTGGCAGGAAACATTGCAACTGGTTGGGGCAAAGAGGATCCAGCTTGGATTCCTCCAATCTGGCACAAGTGTTATGTGGTTCTTAAGCATTTCCGTTCCTGTAGCTCAGCAATTCAACTTTTTCAGGGTCAATTTGAGGAGAGACCAGATTCCTATTAAATCTCCTTTTTTCAGTTGAGGCTTGACTGATCTGGCAAACACAAAATCAGCGAAGAAGCAAAACCGCAAATTCCACTACAAGTCCATCATTTGAAAAAAGACGAATGTTTCAGCTGTGGCCCTTCACTCGTTTAAAGGATTCATGTGAAGCCTAGGGTCTTCTACAAGTTGAGAGTTCTCAATTTGAACATTATTCCTTGATGTGTGTGCAGAAAGTTATAAATTTAGATAACTTTAAAACCGGTGTTTAAGTTCTCTTTTACATATAGTTTGTCTGTTAGTATTTATACTACCTACAATCATGTGAATTGGTTTACTGTGTTGTATGTTTGTTAGTGAGGTTACATGGTACAACAACAAATTGTATTCGTATGGCGCCTTTCATGTTGGGAGGACGTGTAAAGCACAATGCAACAAACACAACATATTAAGGCCTGGTGGATCTAACTGTAATGTAGCTGCACCAGTCTATTGTATTGCATATCATTGAATAGAACAGCTGCACAAATCATGACTAGACGTTGTTGCTGGGCTGCTTAAGGACTGTCCCATCTTTGCAACTATGAAGCTTTTCCAGCGCCTTGGGATGTCCTCCCGACGTGAAAGGCGCTATACAAATGTAATCTTGTTGTTGTTTTCATTTTAAAAATGTCTCCCATTTTATTTTATCTGAGAAAATACGTAGACCGTGAGTTTTCTATACACCTAAAACAAGGAATTAATACAAACTAACAACAGGCTTATGTAGCAGTTGGCAACAAATCACTGTCCTTCAATTCCTTGGTCAGAAATTTTTCATTTATGTTGTATAACTCACTTGCGATGAAGTTATTAATATACAATGGCCTAACTTGCAGGAAATAATAAATACCTGCATAGAATCTTTCAACTACCTGGATGTGTGTTGCATCAAACCTGGGATCATTTCATTTCTGATTTCTGTGAAGTTTTATCATAGCTGAAAGTGATCAATTGAGAACAGTATCTGAGTGGAGCACTGGTTGGTTGGTACGAGACATTGCAGGATTTGCTGTTAGACCCCTGCCAATTGGACCCCATTATTCATTTGGTCAAGTTCATGTTTAGCTGTGGTAAATAGTGTTATTTTACTGGGAGTTGATGTGGGCTCCCAGGGACGGGCTCCCGTGCTGAGGGGAGGGAATGGGCAGGTTGGTAGGGAGTTAGGAGGTCGCAGAGGTAGGGGGAGCGAGGCCATGGAGAGCTTTGAAGGTGAGGACCAGGATCTTGAACTGTATCCTGTCTTTGTGATGGGAAGCCAGTGGAGTTGGGTGGGGATGATAGGGTCACAGAGCCTGGTGCGGCAGAGGCCACAGGCTGCATAGTTCTGGATGATCTGCAGTCTATGGAAGGAGGAGTTGGGGAGGCCGACAAGCAGGGCGTTTGCTTAGTCAAGCCTGGATGTTATGAATGCGTGTATGAGGGTTTTTGCGGTGTGAGGTGGTGGCGGAGCCGGGAGATGTTGCGGAGTGGGGGAAGGCACAGTGGGTCATGACACAGGTGTGGGGTAGAAAGGATAGTTGAGTGTCAAACAAGATGCCAATATTCCATACTGGCTCAGTGAGGTGGAGTGTGCATCCTTGGAAGATGATGCTGTCAGTGCCTGAGGTGTCGAGGCGCTGACGGGAGCCAATCAGGAGAGCCTCGGACTTGTTGACGTTCAACTGGAAAAAGTTAGCTCTCATCCAGGACTTGATGTCTGACAGACATTCTGGAGTCAAGGATGGAGGCAGAGAGAAAGAGTTGGGTGTCGTGCGTGTGGTAATTGACCCCATGTTTGCGCATGATGTCACCAAGAGGGAGCATATAGATACTGAAGAGGAGGGGACCAAGGATAGAGCCCTGAGGGACGCTGCACAAGACGGTGCGGGGCAAGAGCAGAAACCGATTGTGGAAATGAGGTGGAGACAGTGTGAGAGGTGGGATCTGAACCATTCAAGGACAGAACAATGAAGGTTGAGAGGAGAGGTGGTGGAGGAGGATAGAGGAGGATAACTTGCATTTATATAGCATCATTCAAAAAGGATAGTATCTTGAAGCTCTTGTATCATCTCTTCCTATTATATAATCTCACCCCATTATATTTGTCCGTGTCCCTTTATTTCCCTTTGTATGCAGTATAATCTTTTTCTCTAATTGTGTCATCATGAAGAGAAGCTAAAAGTAATGCTTTTAACAATGATGTACAGGGTCTACCAGGAACAGCTGAAACTACCCAGCTCATAGCTGCATTGATGCATGGATCGTATCTGGAACTCGTAATGCTTTCAATTTCTGCTACATTTTCTTAGCAAATGTTTTGTTAAAGCATTTTGGGGGATGTTTATATTGGCAGTGTTATGGGGTTGTTCGTGAGTTCACTGCAGGAAAGGCTTTTCGGAAAATCATTAAGGGAATGTAACTTTAGTGAGATTGAAATCACATAACAATGAAGTCTATTGACAATTGGATTATATGTAAAGAACTTATTACAGGAAACTGTTGGTATTTATTTCTAAGTGGGAAGGATCTGAATAGTAACAGGCACTATTTATGAGAGCAGTAAAATCCATGGTTAATAGCTTAACTCTTGAAGGATTCCTTGCAAATGTTTGTATAAAATAAATCCAATCCAGAATATTTAGTACAATTTTGAAAACTTGTAGTGGAGAATAGAATTGAAAGCTGAAGGTGCATTAGTTCCTGATCATGTGAATAACATCTCATGGAGCTCCTTTAATGCCCAATTTCTTCAGTGTAACTAGCATACATTTTAAAAATATAATACAGTTCTATAGCGCCTTTCATGTCAGGAGAACCTTCCAAGGCACTTGACAATTCTGGGTGGGTAACAGAGCTTAGGGGGAGTGAGGAGGGGAAAGATAGTCAAAGAAATGTATTTTAGGTGCAACTTGAAAGAGAGGAGGAGAATGGAGTTCTCGCCAGCAGGTGCTTGAAAGCCCATCCGCCAATGGTGGGGTGGAAAGATCGGGCGACGTGTAGTTGTCAGCCACGTAAAGAAAGCATTAAATTGATGCCTAAAGAGCTTGCAGCATTAACATGATTTTAGGGGCCTGCTGTTTAATTCTGCACCCCACTGAATATTGGGCAATAAACACTGACCATTGTTTGAGCTGTTGCACAGATCTGTCCATAACGTTTTATGAATAGATTTTGGACGGAGAATATAAATTCTCTTTCTTACTCCTATTTGGCTTTACCGCTGAGGTAAATTGCATCAAAAAAAATAATGATTTGGTCACTCAATTTGGTCACGACTGTTATAGGATGCTGCTGTGTGCAATTGGCTGCTTCAACGTTAATGTTTCCTTGTAAGACTTTGGAGTAGTGTCTGGCAGGTACAATTAGACTATTTCTCTGCTATTGTTGATTTTGCTTCCCCACAGTATTGCTTTCAGCCTTGTGCCTCAACAATAAAATTAAGATTTGCTGCTCAGACAAAAAAATCTTGAAACCAAAATAGACAGAACAAAGTCAATTGGTCATAATTCCTTCTAATGTTGCTGATGCTTCCTCTAAAGAGTCCTGACCATAGGTTAAACATGCCATTGTTTACAATTGATTAAAGGCATGTTAGGTACCTTTGTTAAATCACTGATCCTGTGACACTATTTGAAAAGAGAAGGTAATTTCTGCCGGTATCCTGAGCAACATGGTCAAATGCAAGGATTATCATCATACAATTCGTGGAGAATCTGATTGTTGAAGGAAAGATTCATGCCCTTAGGAAGATTGAAACTGAACTCTGCTAATTGTTTGCAATGTATTTGTAATGCAACAAAGTACTGTATTGCTTTCTTATGCCATGGCAAAATGGACATCTTAAAATGGGATGAAGAGGGAAAGATCTATTGTATTTGCAGATCTATTTTTCTTGCCAATAAATTGTAAGAGTGGCAGCAATTGTAAGGCCTCATTCTGTGGTAGGTTACAAAAGGAATTGGCAAGTGGGAAAATCCAATCTGATTATCTGTGCATTGACTTCATATTGCTGTTTGCTTTCTTGCACTACATACCACCTTGGTTTTCACATCTTGTTGTCAACGGAGGGAGAAATTTCCCTCATTTCATTCTAGGCCGAGAGTTAAATGTCTAAACCTAACCCCGTACCAAACACAATTTTAATATTGATTGATACTTGGAAAGTAATGGTTTTAAAGATCTGAAGAAAAGGCAGGGAAATGGGATCTGCCAAGATCTAATAAAATGGTGAAATGAGCTTGATGGATTGAATGGTCTCCTGTTTGATATATTTACTGAGGCACCAGTAGGCAGCTCGGACACTTCCATCAGCGTTGATCTATGCTTCAGCAATCCTATTTGACTAAGCAATGGTTAACTTCGTATTTCAACACTGCACTGAACAGAGTTGCAAGAAGGAACACTGGTTTGAGCAGGGTCATAGGCAGAGCATGGTTACAGCTTGGTTGTCGGTATTTTGTGCAGAATCAGTCTTTGAATCGACAGAGCAGTTTGTTTGGCATCAATGTGACGATATGGTTCGAGCACTGAATACTCATACTGCTCTGGTCATAATCATTCAGGAAATTAACAACTCCTGCTGGCTTTGAGGATGGAGTAGGTCATCCTCATTGAGTTTGGCGTTGGATTGAGTCCAGGAGCAGGATGTGCTATGTCTGTGTTGTGCTAAACAAGTTCAAAATATTCCATCACCGGGTAGGATTTTGTAGATCACTGAAACTATTGATGGTGATTAGTATCCTTGAGCGTTCCTGCTCGTGGCTAGCTTTTAAGCCAGTGTGATTTCGATATCATTGCCAAACCAAAGTGCTAAATCCAGAGCTAAAGACCATTCTTCGTACAACATAAATGAATGTGCAACGTCATGAGCAATCATTTGAATGCTGAAGATGCACCTATTTGTCTTCTTTCTCACAGTCTGGTTCTGTCGGCAACGATATGATCACTATAGATGGTGACAGCGGCAATAAGAACAGTACTTTTAATGGCTTCCTGCCAAATCACTCAACACAACAAATTGAGTCATATTTAGCCTACCTATAACCTTGCAGCCCATATTTCATTAAACCAGGGCTGTGAACCAATGTTTAGCTGGCTAGATTGGATCTGGCATGCTATAATTCTGATGTGGATTTTGGTGGAAACGCAGCATGATTTTAAAAAGTAAGCCTGTCTGTATTATTTTAAATTAGATAGCAATGTTCCACCACTGGGTGGAATAATAGACACTGTAGTCTGTTCAATTCAATCTGCTAGCTGACCCACTTCATGACCAAGTGCCTTGGGACATCCTCCTGACGTGAAAGGCGCTATACGAATGTAATTTGTTGTTGTTTGTTGTTCATGTATTGTGGTCGTAACTGAATTGAAATGAAGTTACAGTGAACAAGGAGAGAATGTCCTAGCCAACAATCTCAAGTAAAATTTGCTTATTCACTTTATGGTTGGTTGTGTAACATTGCTGTGCGCAAATTGTCTGGTATGTTCACCTACAAAGTACCCATTCATTAATTGCACTTTAGAGTATATCCTGTGAAATATGTTGCGTCGTTCCCCGTGATTATTATGTTGTGAATTCAGTAACATGAATAAACTGAAAGGGATATTGCAGTGTGAGGAAATCTGAAACTGACTTTGGATAGTATTCATTGCATATGTTTTTAGTTCTCAAACCACACAAGCTTACAAGTTTGGGAAACTTAGTTCTGGTTTTCATTAATAATTGGGTAAGCCCTGCGTACTCAACTGACATTGGTTAAGTTAGACATTCCAGATCATAATGTGCATTTCTTTGTAAACTAAGCATTTTTGCCTCTACTTCTGTTGCAAACCTCAATCAAGTGAAAACCGGCCAGGAAACCAAGAAAATTATGGCATTGTTAATGGAGAAAGAATGTATGAAAGAAACTACTTTTTTATCCAAATTACTCAAATTTTGCTTTGACCTTTCCCCCCAACAACCATACTATTTGTAGGGAAAAATGTCCTCTAGCACGTTTCTGGAATCATCATATTCCACTCTTAGGCTTTTGTAGACATTAATATTACCAAAATGTTACCATGTGCAACCTAGGGAAATTATATTTTATCTAATGGGGTAAATAAAATATTATTTTGTTATATCTGAGGCCTCTCATGCTTTCATCACGTCCAGTAGCAGGTGTAGCACCTTATCATGTCTTCGTGAAGCCTCAAAGTGTTTCACAGAATATACTGTGAAGTGAATTGACTGTATATTTTGTGATACTCATTGGTGGGTTGTTACCAATATACTTAACTCTGGTCTCTTCTACAAGGTGTCTTCTGTGTGTTTTTAAACTTAACTGAAAGCTGTTTTATATCAAAGGTATTAATCCTTTCCTTGACACGCCCCAACGTGGCAGGCAGATGCAGACCTAAACCGATATATAGCCGATAATGAAGCTTATGTACATTTCTGATCTTTAGACTTTGGAATATTATCCACATATTGCAAAATGGGAGTCATGGGAACATACTCAGTGTTTTACACCATTCCGAAGCTACCATTTCTAAAATGGATTTCTAGTACCAGAGATAAATTAATGTACTGTACTGTTTTTGGATCATTGACTGTGTGGAATAGGAAATAACAAGTCTCCATTAGCTCAGTAAAATTCTCTCGCAGTTGCATTCCAGTGTCACTGTCTGGTAATCCCATGGATTCTGAACCTTCATCACAAATCAATGTCCAATTTAATTTCACACCAGAATGTAGAAATAGTTTTCTCAATTTGTTTATTGCTGTCAGTCAGACCATGTGCATGCCTGCATATAGTTCTGATACTAAAGACAGTGTTCACAATCATTAGAATTATACAGCACAGAAGGAGGCCATTCGGCTCATCATCTCTGTGCTGGCTCTTTGAGAAGCGCTTCCAAATCAATCCCACTCCCCCACTCTCTGCAAACTTGTTCTTCTCGAATAATTATCTACTCCCCTCTGTTTTGTTTAACAACTATTTTAAATCAATGCCCTCAGGTTACCGACACACCCGCCAGTGGAAATAGTTTCTCCTTCTTCACCCTATCGAATCTCCTCATAATTTTGAAAACTTCTATTAAGTCTGTTCTTAATCTTCTCTGCTCCAAGGAGAATAATCCCGGCTTCTCTCGCCTCTCCTGATAACTGAAGTCCCTAATTCCTGGTACCATCCTGGTCAATCTCCTTTGCAGCCTCTCCAATGCCTTGACATTTTTCCTAAAGTGTGGGGCCCAGAACTGAACACAGTCTCTCGCTGAGGCCAAACCAGTGTTTTATAAAAGTTCATCATAACTTCCTGACTTTTATATTCTGTGCCCCTATTTATAAAGCCTAGTTTCCCATATGCTTTTTTTTAACAGCTTTATCTCCCTGTCCTGTCATCTTCAAACATATGAACCCTCAGGTCTCTCTGTTCTTTCACCCCCTTTATGATTGTACCATCAGCTTATATGGCCTCTCCTCATTCTTCCTCACAAAATGCATCACTTCACATTTCTCCACATTAAACTTCATCTGCCCCGTGTCTGCCCACTTTACCAGTCTGTCTATGTCCCCTTGCAGTCTGCTACTATCCTCCTCACTTGCTTACTACTTTTCCTAGCTCTGACAATAACTCTTAGACTTTCTGGTTCTAGTCGGTGATGGTTCTTGAAGATTCTGCCATGAATTAGCAGCCTCTGCTCTTCACAGTAAGACCTTTCTGTGGCTTTTAGTAATTCTTTTACATGTGCAGAGTATGTTGATGTAAAGTGAGTGATATCAAATCACCTTTAATGTTTTATGCCCCAAAATGTGGAACATTTCCGCAACCAGAGAATGTTAAATCCTAATATTTATTTATCTGTGTTTTTAAACAGTTCCGTGCGTTGGCGCCCATGTACTATCGTGGATCAGCTGCAGCAATTATTGTATATGATATCACGAAAGAGGTGAGACTCCATGTTTGTTGCACAGTTTCCATAATGTCCTGGGTAGGAATTAATTTATCCACTGCTTACTTTGCTTTAAGAATTTTGCTTTTCTTGAACATAAATAGAAAGTGATATTTGGTATTAAACTGTCGGCTGCTTTACCTAAAATATTTATTGGGTTTCTTGAAACCAGATTAAACTTCTCATGTTCCCTGACTGGATAAACAATCGTTAAAACTAATATTTTCACTGCCTGAGGGAATTGCTGACTGAGCAAATATACTCTTTTGAAGAGTTAAAACTTTAGCCTTCATTCTGTATCTGGCAATTAGGAAGTCAGCGTTTTATTCTGAATTTTTTTTGTTTCGTTGTTGGTAGGCCCATTATTTACTGTGTTCTGCTTGTTAAAAATACATTTTTACAGTGACAATTTTTGTCCAAATAGTGACATTAATTTCTTCTCTTGCTACCAATAAAGCATTGAGCATAGTGTAGTACTGGCTGAAGGATGAATCCACAGATGAATTGGTTCTCAACAAATGTCTATTATTGGAGCTTGATTTTGTAGTCTTTTGTAATCCAGATTTGATTAAATGCAAAGAGCATTAGAAGAATTAGTTCTGTTGATGCCAGGGTATGGTGACTTGGCATCCTTGAAAGCATTGTTCAGGGTTAGCTTTCTCTGTCCTATGAAACATGAAACCATTAGCCACCTCAATTAGTATGCACTAGGATCCTGGGGTAGTTGTCTGGAATTGTGCAAGAGAAAAGTCGAAGGCATCTTTCTTGAGTATTGCAAAGTATTTCATTATCTAGAACCATATCAGTGTGATGAGTGGCTGTCTCATTGGAATTTGTATTATAAATCTTGGGGTTGTTGTAAACCTTGTTCCCTCTAACATCTCCTTTGTATGGTTTTACTCAGGAGGCATTCCAGACGCTGAAGAACTGGGTAAAGGAATTGCGACAGCATGGGCCTCCAAATATAGTTGTTGCAATTGCAGGAAATAAGTGTGATCTAAATGACGCCAGGTATGTAAGCAGTTTTGTGGGGCAGATTGTCTTGATGTTTAAACAGGCTAAATCAGGGACAAGCACCAATAGGGCTGAGCTTGTGGCCAGTCCATACCAGAGATCTCTTTATACTGAGGGACCAATCGGTCCATTTACCAATGGTCCAACGCATTTTAAGAGGAAACTGAGTGTTATGAAAGGGGTTGAGAAGTACGGTATTGCTGTCTCTATAACATGAAGGGCTGAACTTCTAGAACATTCCTACTCTTCTATAAATTCTTGTCAGGACATAGTTCAATAGGGGGAAGGGAGGGGGCTTTTTTTGTGTGTGAGTGTGTGTTGGTCTTTAAAAGTAGGGCAGACTAACATTCCTGACCAATTGCTGAAGAGATTTGTGCACTCACTGTCTGCCTGAAGTGTTATAGCCATGACCTGTATTGCCTGACTTCGCCACTGCCTCACCCCTCAGGCCACTGAAACCCTCATACACGCCTTCATTACCCAGGCTCGACTATGGCCCTGGTTGTCGGTCTCCCCAACTCTTCCCTCCACAAGCTGCAGATCATCCAGAGCTCTGTAACTCGAGTTCTTTCCCACACCAGGCTCCGTGACCCATCACACCCACTCTCGCCCGGCTCTAACGGCTCCCCATCCCTCAGAGGTTTGAGTTCCCGACATGAAAGGCGCTTTACAAATGTAATAAGAATAATAATCCTTGCATTTGATATAGCGCTTTTCACGTCTTCCAGATGTCTCAAAGCGCTTCACAGAATATGCTGTAAAGTGAGTTGACCGTATATTTGTGGGCGAAACGCGGCAGCCAATTGTACACATCAGTGTCCCACAAACAGTCGGGGATTGAAAATGACCAATTTTATTATTGTTTTGTTTTGGAGGGATTATTATTAGGCGTAAGGAAACTTGCCCAAGGTTTCGCCCTCTGCCTGGAATTGAACCCAGGTCTCTCGCTTGCAAGGCGAGTGCTCTAACCACTGAGCTACAGGACTCCATATTGTATTGTCTAGTGTATCCCAGGATTCACACATTTTTGCTGATTCTCAACCCACATGCACAATGTTTGACTTTTTTTAAAACTCTTACTTAAAATAACTTTTATACCATTTTGAGATGCTGATAAAGTCTTATACATGACACTTCTGTTCGCTTTGTAAATGTGATTGGGGGGGGGAGCGGGGAGTTTAATTGTTCAACAATATCTTTAGTTCTTTAGCATTGTGCTTGCAATACAGGCAATGTTATTCATTTTTTTTGCAGGGAAGTACTTGAAAAAGATGCAAAGGATTATGCAGATTCCATCCATGCTATTTTTGTAGAAACTAGCGCCAAAAATGCCATTAACATCAATGAACTCTTTGCAGAAATCAGTAAGTATAGACTTGGTCATTTGGACTGAAATGAGTCTCTATTAAAATAAAGCACACCCAACTTTCATTTGCCCTTCACATAGGCTAACAATGGAGACTTTACAGGGAATGGGGTTGGACACTGAGTGGGGGAAGGGAGGTGGCCATCGGCATGTTCAAAGAGGTAGGATTTGAGGTGGTACTTCAAGATAGAGGTAGGCGGAGGGTAGCGGCCGAAAGTTCCAGAAGGTAGCGGTGTAGGAGCTGAAGGTTCGGCCACCGAAGGGGGCACGCAGCAAGCCTGAATTAGCTGAGTGTAAGAGTCAGGTAGGAGGAGATCAGGGAGATGTGCTATGAAGTAGATGGATTTATAAGTAAAGGTAGGACCTTAAAATCCATATTTTGGGAGATGGGGGAGACTGGTGTATTACAATATTATATAATGTATCATTTTTATAGCACTTTAGCACATTGAAATACATTTACAGTAATTATTACCAGCTACTGCAAACAACCAGTGTGACCTTTGGCTTTTTTTAAAATCTAGCTAGTGCTCTTGTTAAAAGCATTGCCCTATGGGCACGGTCAGGGCGAGGATCTTGAAGGGGGGCGGGGTACTGGGAACCAGGTGAACCTGGCGAGGAGGTGATGACTGCAATTAATAGTCACCTTTGTCCTTTCAGGTCGTAGAATTCCCACAACGGACAGCAATCCAGGATCCAGCAATAAAGGCTTTAAGCTGAGGAAACAGCCTTCAGAAACTAAACGCAATTGCTGCTGACTCCTCCCTGTTTCAGACTGATTCTGAGCCAGTGCAGGCAAGCTACTGGATCTACGTACACCTCTCAGTCCTGCGTTCCTGACTTGCTCTCCGTGTAGGGTGAACAGCTGACGTCCTCAGAATTGCAGGAATTTAACCTTATTTCATCATTTGTCTATAGAATTTCTCTGAGAAACATCTTGCCAAAACTTTATTTTGCACTCCAATAACGGGGAGGAAAAAGAAACCAAAAGGTTTTAAATGACACCGACAGATGTTGGGTGCAAAGGAGAACTCTTGCGCGTTTTCTTCAAAGCATGTAAATAGACTTTGACACAAAAGGGAAAATATAAAACTGAAGCACTTTTAGTTCGATTTTTTTATAACCAAGAATTGGACTCCCTTTCAAAAGCACTTCAAAGCTTCCTGCTGAGAGAGAGAGAGAGGTGGGTGCCTGAAGTAACTCCCTTGGTGAAACCAGGGCTGTTCAAATCTGCTTTCAGATGGGCAGGCTGTTAAGAAATTGTTTGTTGCTTGTTTCCATCAATCTTCACAAGGCTCCAAAAAACAATTGATTTATTATAAGGGGAAAAAACTTTTCTGAGTTTTGGATACGGTTCATTTGAATCCTCAAAGTGTTGATTACAACTCCAGGAACCAGGATGAAATGATCTCAAACTATTATAGTAATGCTGATCTCTCTCAATGAGTGTTAAGGGGCAAGTGAGATTGAATTTGAGTACACCTTGGATTGGGCGGTCTCCAGAAGACTTTATATTNAAAAAAATGTTAGATAGTGTGATGAGAAAATTATACAATTAGACTAAGCATCTGTGTTTGCAAAGCACACCAGTGTCTCAAAGAAACAAGAGTTGTAAGGAAATGTTAGTAACTTTTAATGTTTAATTCTTTGGCAAGTTCACTTCAGTTTGATGTTTGAGAAATAGTTATGTTTCACAAATTCTGGGGGGCAACATCATGCAGAGCTCAGAACATTTCAATGCAGCAACATTCTCAGGATGTACTCGGAGGAAATTAGGGAAGATATGATCCAGTGTCAGCTTAATTCAGTAGATAGCACTTTGACCTCTGACCCAGAAGGCTGTGGGTTCAAGCCCGACTTTAGAACTTAAGCTCATATTCCAGGTTAACACTTCAGTGTTAGATTGTTAGAGATACTGTCCATTAGGTGATGCAATGAACCAAGGAATCATATGCCTGTTCAGGTGGCCATTAAAGATCCCTAGACACTATTGGGGGGAGGGGAGGTATTTCTCCCAGTGCCCCAGACAACAATTTTCCAAACAAATTTGTTCATTTAACTCCTGGAGGTTTGTTGGAACTTGCGTGCAAAATGTCTGCCTGGTTTTCCTACAAAGACCAAACACTACTCTTGCCATCAATTACCCATAAAGTTCTTTTAAAAAGTGTTGATGTGCTATAAAATGCAGGTTCTCATTAAGTAAATGTGTGCATCTGGATCACATCTAACCCATTGTTTGAGCCCCCACCACATTTCTCATCTTTGAAGAATTAAAACATTTTGTAAGTTTTTTTAATAGTCTTATAGTTTGGGCATCTATTAATCTGCAAATTCATACAATTTTGCTTACATTTGGATATATTGTGCTTCAGACCTAATGGTTGGACTGAAAATGCAGAGATAGAAAGGCAACCATTGGATAATGAAGCCTGTTATCTTTTGAATGGAAAGCGAGAAGGGTATATAAGAGAAAGGGAGAGAAAAATAGGGCATTTTTCTAACACCCTGACATGTCAGAATATGCTTTACAACAACAATTGTCATTTGAAGATAATAAATTTGAAATATCTTCACAGAATTTCACGCTTAAAATTGTAAGAAATCAAGCCAAGGTATTGTGTCTAAATTGCCATTTTTTCTAGCTGCATCTTGTGTATCTAGAGCAAATGCATTGGTGTTGATCCAGGGGCTGGCTGGCTACCCTTGCATTGTTTCTACAGTGTGCGTCTCAGCTGCTGAAAAGTATAGGAGCCTTCACCATCTTTAGAATCTATTGAATGGTTGTTGAGAATGCATGGCTTTAAACATGTCGTTGCTGATGAGCTTCAATGAATTACCAACCTCCTGTAATCAGACAACCAGCACCTCAATCAGCCTCCATGGGACTGAAACAATGTTTGGAATAGTTCTTTAAAAAGCAAACTGGAGCCCATGTATGTAAGCATCTTTCCTTGTGAATGTAGAAAACTGATTGTTTGACAATGTGATAATTTGCAAAATGATTTGGAATTTAAGGTTGAAGAGCTTTTAGCGGTGGATTCAGCGCTTCCTTTCTCCTATTTATTTGGCAGATAACACATAAATTTAGCTTTAAGCAAAACAATTCACTGAGATCAGCTCAGTCGGGTACCCAAAAAGATAGATGTTGTTTCTAGACTATATTGATTTAAATTAAACCTCTTGCGGATTGTAAACAATCTTGATATTTTTAGAAAAGTAGACTTGTGTGGCTTTAGTAAATAACTTTAAAACTTTCTATCAATTGCTCCGCCCCACAGATTTAAGCCGATCTTCAACATGGGGAATTGACTCATGCAATGAAAGTAATGCAGAGTAATACCATCTCCTGAGAGTGAGAGTGTGACAGGAAAGTCAGGCTGTGATCAGTCGGAGCTCAATAGTGTGACATTGTATTGAGGTGTTTCAGATTCTGATACAGTGGAGCATTTGCTGAGTTAGCAGTACATAATCTGTTCCATCCATTGATTTTTTAATTTTTAAGAAAGAGGTAGAAGAAAAGGGAAGCAAGCATTTTTTCTGATTGGTAGTCTCTGTGGAGATAACTGGCCGTAATTGGGGAACACGCCATTTCAGTCCAACTAGTCTGTTCCAATCTTTGTGCTCCACCTGAGCCTCCATCCTATTTATTTTTCCCCTATCCCTCGTTTATGCACAGAGTTGATTTTATTGAACACTAAAAACATTTTAAAATGCCTGTCGTTAGTGATGCAAATTTTGGTAATCCCAAACAAAGCAAAACCGGCTGGGACCCAATTATATGAAGCAAATATTTGAATCAGACATTTTGTTTCGTAATTATTTAAAATTGCTCAAATTTCAAAAATGATCCCTTATTGTACATGAATCAAAATGGTCAGAGTTCACGTAGTTTGAGATTTTTTAAAAGAAATGCAGTAGTCTTGTAATATGTTAAATCATGAAGCTTACATCCATCATGATTTGCTGTGGACACATAAGAATGCGGTTGCTTCTTTGTGAATACAGATTATGGATTTGAACGTTTTTGACTCCTCTAGCACAAGCCTCTTTGTTTTTGTGGAACACTGCTGTGTGCAATTTGCTGCCGTGTTTCGCCCACAAATATAGTCAGTTCATTTTGCAGTATATTCTGAAGCGCTTTGAGATATCTCGAAGACATGAAAAGCGCAATATCAAATGCAAGGATTATTATTTATTATTATAAGCCTAACACTTCTGATGAAGGTTATCATGCCCCAATATCATGTTTTTCTCTTTGTGATGCTAGTTGAGCTGTGCGTTTCCAGCATTATCTCTTCTTATCCCCTTTCTGAGATTCTCCCATTCCAGACTAAATGCACATGTCCGATCCACACTCTATTTGTTGTGTCAAGAAAGATAACCTAGTCCCACATGTTCATCAGTACCATTCTGTAGTTGGTCATTGAGAAAATGTAATTCCCTTGTGATGAAGGAATCCAAATTGCTGAGATGCATTTGGGTAGGCCATCTCTCTAAACCATGTACACCACATGTCATTAATTAACCCAGTGATAGAGAGCTGATGGGCATTTTTTAGTGCCATTCTATAGCTCACCACTAAGAGTAGTGAAAGAGCCCAACTTGACCTGCTCTAAGTTGCCCCTCAATACCTTTTTTTTAAAAAAAGTGCCAAATCATCCACAAACCCTATGAAAAGCAAGAAATCCCAATGAAATAGTTGCCTCTTAAAAGGCCTGATTAAATCAATAAATATTAGAACATTACCTGAACTGCACAGTAGCAAAATGAGCATATTTAACAGTAAAGCCAGCAATAGTCTTGTGTTTCTGAAAGAAATTGCTTAAGAAGTTTCTCTTGTAACACTTCAGTTAACAAAGCGGTTTGATTGTTCTCTAGTTATTGTGCTTCAGAGCTTGTTTACTGATCTCATTTTAAAGTTCTGAAGCAAAACTATCCAATGCTGAACTTAAATTGTTGCCCAAGTTCACCAGATAGCAGCCAAGTATGAATATCCTGACTGGTTTCAAGGCCGAGGTGGAGTTGCTAGGAGGTATCATGCAAGGAATTGTGGATGCTAACTGCAGTGCAGCACATCACCACATATACTGGCCTATAAGGCAAAGAAATCTGGCGATTGAATGTTTAACGTGCCCATTAGTATTTTGCTAATGTTTCCAAAACTTGTAATTCTTTTTGCTTTGCATAGGATATTGTCAAAATATTAGTTTAATAAACCCTTTTTAAAAATAATGTTTTTGCCAAGCTTGTGTGAGCAGAAGGAAAGAATGACCACTTGGTCTTAAACTTGGGCTGGTCCCAAGCAGAAGTGACTTCTTTGATCAGTGTATTTGTTAATTACTCTAATGCCAGAAAACTGTTAACTGTATTAAAAACATGTAATACTGACATGTAGAACGCATTCATAGCGAGCAAGCAGAGAAGAGTACCCACATCAATACAAATTCATTTAAGTGTGTTGCTAAATATGCATTTTTTTTATTGTGTATCTAATAATTGCTAAATCACTACACCAGTCCATGATGTACTTTTGAATGTGCAAATGATGTATGCAGTTTATTAATAAAACTCGATGCATTTTGGTTTACGGATGATGTCTGGCTTGCTCAATGTCAAAAACATTTTTGTTTCAATTTGTGAACGAAGCCATTCTATGATTCACTGGGATTGTTAACACCATACTCTGGTTGGAATTGCCATAAAATGTGTGCAAAATGAGAATCGCAAAACAGCTTAAAGCACTTCTTCGAGTGTGTGTTCAGGACCTCAATTTGCTTTTCATCCCTAAACTGACTTGCTACCTCAATCATGGTGGTAATGCAGCAGAGGAAGAAAAGGCAAGTAGCTTGCTGTTAGCCAGAAAACATTAACTAAAATCTTTTAATAAATCTTCACTTTTCTGTAGCTGTAGGTCACATCATGTGGTGACACTAATGTGTATGCAGCTTGTTGTGATTCAGGTGGTATGTGCTGTGGAGGGCAAGGAGATGAGCTCCCGATTGTTATAATAGCATTAAGTAGAGAGTTGGCGCGTCCGAATGGGAAAGGGGCAAAACCAGACTACATATTGCTCTCGACGACTGTCCAGTCCTCATCAGTCTGAGCTCAGGTTCTTCCTTTAGCAAAGAAATGACCTTGGAAATGGGGAGAAAAATAAGTCAGACAAATAGAATCCAGAATTATAGATTGTTTTAAAAACCTGGAGAAGAGACGGTTCAGGGCGATGCGATTATGGTCTAAGATTCTGAAGGGACTAGATAATGTAGACCATGATAAACTTATCAAATACTGAACAGTAGAACCAGAGAGCACAGCCTGCGATTGAAGAGCGGTAAATTTGACAATCTAGACAAATCTGCAGAAACACTACTTCAGTGAGCAAGTAGTAAACTTATGGAACGGGATCCTTAGGAAAATGATGGAAGCAGAAAGTGTTGTTTGTTTCAAGAACAAATTAGAAAGATTTCTGCAAGAAAATAATATCTTGGGATACAGTATATGGTTTGGGACACGACATGTCAAGCGAGTGCCAGCACGGTGGAAACTGAATGGACTTAGATGGACTTGGTCTTCTTTCACCTAGCAAATTCTTATGTTATTTGAAATTGCAGGGGGAAATTATAAAAGAGAACACAAGATAGTTTAAAGTGCAAGGCCCTAGTGCAAATAATTGTGAAAACAGTATGGTCTCATCTCACTAGCTTTGATTCTTCTTCATACAGTTTAATCTGACTTCCCAAAGCAACACTCTTCCAGAGCAGAAGCAAGGAGATGTGTCTATCCAATGAGGATCACCATTATTGGGGGGTTAAAATATTGTGCTGTATTCACTAAAGGAATTTAAAAATTGAATCCTGAATCCTGATGGTATCAGCCCTGCTCACAGGTGATTTCCTGAGTCTAGGAGCTGGGCCCCCATAGGTCTGTGTGATATATCTAGTACACCTGTCATCCTCCTTGTGGTTCAATAGATCACCAACATTAACTGTCTCAACCCGCGTGAATAATGGTCACTTGCATGAGTACCAGATGGCAGCGAGTATTGTCTGTCATGAAAAGAGTTGCACCCTTTTAAGAGAAGCGGGTCGAAGAGGAGGAAAGTTGGAGGACAGGGTTTAAGATGTGCCAGAAGAGGGCCTCAGCTGAGCATGCTTAGCAAAAGTAGGACAATGACCCTGCTTTCCAGAGCTTGCAATTTTCCTTTTCTGTAAGTATGTTAAATCAGGAAGTCATTACCTGACCTCTGTTGTAGAACATTACCAGTTTGTCATTTACTATTTACAAGCAACTGAACTCTTGAGTCGAGGAGTTCGTGTGGAATAAAAAACATCTGAACTGATTTTTGCAATCCATCATGATTAGTTCTTCCACTGATTGATGAGCAATCGTGACTGATATCAATTTCTCTGCTCCCCATTCCTGTCATTGCTTCCCAAAGGCAATGGGTGACTTTGGCTGTGATATGGTTTGAAAAAGGTATTGGCAGCTCTCCAGCGCCTCATCTAAAACACCATTTTTATGTGTTCACCAAGCCTTATAATAGGTACATTAATCCCTGTTGGGTGTAGTTAAGCTTTCCGTAAAGGTTAGACTGTAGAAAATGATGTGTATGCATACACACAGACAGGGGAATATGTACAATTAAGCAACAAATCAATTTTTGCCTCTTTTTTCAGGTAAAAAATTCATTCCTGCAACAAATCTTTGCATTTGGTACAGCATCTAGAATATCAAAATGTCTCAATATGCTTCACAGCCAATGTAGTCACTGTATTGTAGGCATATACAATTTCCAATTTTCACACTACCAAGGTCCGTCAAGCAGCAATGAAGTGTTGGAGTAATTTACCTGAAGGATTGATGGCCAAGACACCAAGAAAAACTCCCTTCTCTTTTTGAATAATGTCATTGGATCTTTGACCTCCATCTGTTATATTAACACGTTAAGGCTTGTCATGAGTGATTCTGTATTCCTATCATGTCATAGGAACACATAATCATTCATCAATGCAGCACAGATACATGCCATTCGAAAATACTTGGACTGGAGCCCCATAGTGGTGAGTCCATTTGCCTCACAAGTGAGGACCTGAGCACGGTGATTCCTAGGCATAGCGAAATCTTAGTCAAGTTTCCTTACTCCACACACCTCTGTTTACCTCGCAGTAAGTAGGAACCTGGTTGTTAGTCGATTGGCAGATTGCTTTCCAGTGGTAATCATCCCTCTATAAATAAATAAATAACTAATAAAGTTGGTCACTCAATCCACAACTGTGGGACACTGCTGTGCGCAATTTGCTGCCATGTTTAGCCCACAAAATACAGTCAATCCATTTGGCAATACATTCTGTGAAGTACTTGGAGATGTCTCAATGATGTAATAAGGTGCTACATCAAATGCAAGGATTATTATTACTTTGGTGTTTTCATATACACCACCCGAGCTCTCCCATACCTTTCTGTTCTCCTCTCCCTCATGTGAAGGTCTAGCTCTTCTTGACATGCTTTGCTTTCTGGAGAGCATAAGGCACAGTTTGGAAAGAGGCTTTGGGGACTCCAGAGTATGTGTTGGGCGGTAACTGCTGGAGTTACACCATCTAAAAGCACAAAGTTTGCCATTGAAGGTACTGTCTGGCAAGGTACTCAATGTTTGTCCAGCAAGAACCACCTTGCCTGCTAAGGCTTTGACTTGCGGGGTTAACAGGAGCTGAGTGGGAAGAAGAATTAATGAGTGTGAGTGGGTGGGTGAGTAGGTGGGTGGGTGAGTGTGAGAATAATAATACTTGCATTTGATATAGTGCCTCATCAAGTCTTCGAGACATTTCAAAACGCTTCATAGGAAATACTGTAAAGTGAATTGATTGTATTTTGTGAGCAAAATGCGGTGGCCAATAATTGTGCACAGCAGAGTGACAGTGAGTGAATGTTAGAATGAAAAAGTTGGTTAGGGTGAGTGAATGTGAGAGTGAAGGGGTTAGGGTGAAAGTGAGTGAGTGTATTGGTGGTGGGCGAAGGACAAAATCAATGATTCAGTTAAGGTGAAGGACTGGGTTTGAATGAGGGAGAGAGTGAGTGACAGAGAGAGTGTGACAGTGAGAGTGAAAAAGGGAGTGTGACAGTGAGTGTGTGTGTTAGTGAGAGAGCGTGACAGAGGGAGGGTGGCAGTGAGTGAGTGTGAGAATGAGTGAGTGACAGAGAGAGTGTGACAGTGAGAGTGACAGAGAGTGTGACAGTGAGAGAGAGAATGACAGAGGGAGTGTGAGAGAGAGTGACAGAGGGAGTGTGACAGTGAGAGAGTGAGTGACAGAGGGAGTGTGACAGTGTGAGAGAGAGTGACAGAGGGAGTGTGACAGTGTGAGAGAGAGTGACAGAGGGAGGGTGACAGTGTGAGAGGGAGCGAGAGACTGAGGGAGGGTGACAGTGAGAGAGAGTGACAGAGGGAGGGTGACAGTGAGAGAGAGAGTGACAGAGGGAGTGTGACAGTGTGAGAGAGAGTGACAGAGGGAGGGTGACAGTGTGAGAGGGAGCGAGAGACTGAGGGAGGGTGACAGTGAGAGAGAGTGACAGAGGGAGGGTGACAGTGAGAGAGAGAGTGACAGAGGGAGTGTGACAGTGAGAAAGTGACAGAGGGAGAGTGACAGTGAGAGAGTGACAGAGAGAGGGTGACAGTGAGAGAGAGAGAGAGTGACAGAGGGAGGGTGACAGTGTGAGAGGGAGCGAGAGACTGAGGGAGGGTGACAGTGAGAGAGAGTGACAGAGGGAGGGTGACAGTGAGAGAGTGACAGAGGGAGGGTGACAGTGAGAGAGAGAGTGACAGAGGGAGTGTGACAGTGAGAAAGTGACAGAGGGAGTGTGACAGTGTGAGAGTGACAGAGGGAGGGTAACAGTGTGAGAGGGAGCGAGAGACAGAGGGAGGGTGACAGTGAGAGAGAGAGTGACAGAGGGAGTGTGACAGTGTGAGAGTGACAGAGGGAGGGTAACAGTGTGAGAGGGAGCGAGAGACAGAGGGAGGGTGACAGTGAGAGAGAGAGTGACAGAGGGAGTGTGACAGTGAGAAAGTGACAGAGGGAGAGTGACAGTGAGAGAGAGAGTGACAGAGGGAGGATGACAGTGAGAGAGTGACAGTGTGAGAGGGAGTGACTGAGAGAGAGTGACAATGTGAGAGGGAGAGTGACAGAGGGAGTGTGACAGCGAGAGAGAGAGAGAGAGAGAGTGACAGAGGGAGTGTGACAGTGACAGAGAGAGTGTGACAGTGGGAGAGGGAGAGTGACAGAGAGAGAGAGCGACAGTGGGAGAGGGAGAGCGCTGCAGTGGTGCTGACGTCAGGCGGGTTGCGCGCGCCGCTGTGAGTGAGTGAGTGAGTGAGTGAGAGCCGCCGCCGCCGCCGCCGCCGCTCCCCCTGAACCCCTGAACCCACCGCCGCCGCCGCCCTCAGTCCCCCCCCTCCCCCCCCCCCGCACCCCGAGCCCCCACACAGCTATGGCCCCGCAGGAGCAGGTCCTCGTCCTCGAGCCGCCCAACGAGCTGAAATTCAAAGGTGAGCGGGAGGGGGCGCGGGGGGGGGGAGCCCGGGGGGGGAGAGCGGGGCCGAGCCCGGGGGGGGGAGCCCGGGGGGCGAGCCCGGGGGGGGAGCCCGGGGGGGGGGGAGCCCGGGGGGGGAGAGCGGGGGGAGGGGGCGCGGGGCCGAGCCCGGGGGGGGGAGCCCGGGGGGAGCCCGGGGGGGAGCGCCGGGGGGAGAGGGAGCCCGCGGGGGGGGGGGGAAGAGAGCGGGAGATCGGCCGCGCGGACGCCCTTCAAGGCCGGGGCCCAGACCAGCCGCGGGCCGCCCAGGAGGCCGGGGCGGGGGGGGGGAGGGAGAGAGAGAGAGAGAGAGAGAGAGTGTGAGAGGGGGTCTTCAGCGCCGTCTCCTTGTGGGCCTCGGGCCTGCGATGCCGTTGCCGCGGCGGCGGTGGTGGGGGTGAGGAGGAGGGGCGGGAGCCCGGGGGGGGCACCTTACCCGTGGCAGCGGGAGGGCGGGGGGTGGGGGGGGGTGTGGGGGCTGTGGCTGCAGTATACGCCGCGCGGCGTTTGTGCGCCTCTCCTACGGCTCTCGCTTTGGAAACCGGACGACAGGCGGTGTCGGGACGGGACCCCCCCCCCCCCATCCCCTATTCCGATGCGTTTTTTTTAATGGAGGGAGAGGGCGAGGGGTGGGGTGGGGGTGTTGGTGGGTTGGGGGTGGGGTGGGTGGGTGTTGGGGGGGTTGGGGGGTGTTGGTGGGTTGGGGGTGGGGTGGGGGGGTGTTGGTGGGTTGGGGGTGGGGTGGGGGGGTGTTGGTGGGGTGGGGGGTGTTGGTGGGGGGGTGTTGGTGGGTTGGGGGTGGGGTGGGGGGTGTTGGGGGGGGGGGGGGGTGTTGGTGGGTGGGGTGGGGTGGGGGGTGTTGGTGGGTTGGGGGTGGGGTGGGGGGTGTTGGTGGGTTGGGGGGGTGGGGGGTGGGGGGGTGTTGGTGGGTTGGGGGTGGGGTGGGGGGTGTTGGGGGTGGGTGGGGGGTGTTGGTGGGGGGTGTTGGTGGGTTGGGGGTGGGGTGGGGGGGTGTTGGTGGGGGGGGTGGGGGGGTGTTGGTGGGTTGGGGGTGGGGTGGGGGGGTGTTGGTGGGTTGGGGGTGGGGTGGGGGGGTGTTGGGGGCTCAGTTGCAGTTGATGCCTTGGACTTGGCTGTGAGTGGGTTTTTAACGTCGGCTTTTTAACCTCTGATCCCTTTTTTTTGCAAATGTCGACTCCCCAAAATATGCGCCTTGTGGGGGAGGGGGACGTCTACCCGACGTGAAAGGCGCAATACACATGTAATGTGTTGTTGTTGTTGTTTTACCCCCTCCTCTCTCCCCCTCCTCTCTCTCTCTCTCACACACACACACACACACACCTCTCCACCCACTGCGATTTTATCTGCATGATGAAAGGTTGCCACACCAAGGCATTAATTTCCTCCCTCTTGGTTTTCCTTTCATACCGAACCGCCCAGTGGAAATACTTGTCCCGCGCCTCTTCCCGCCTGAGCCCTTGCTCTCTCTGCGTGTTGCGTCTTATGAGGAGCGTAGGAAACGCTTTGATCCGACTCGATGTCGCGGCAATCGCAGGACGCTTCCCGGGGTTGGTTTCAGCCGCCAGTTTGCTTAAAAAATTATCATTAAAAGCCTTTGTTTTCGGGCAGTCCCGGTAACCGAAAATTGTAGGCATTAAAGATCCCGTGGCACAACCTCGAAAAGAGGAGGTTTCTCACTGTGTCCTGGCCGCTAATCCCCAAATAATGTACATTTGTGGGGCATTGCAGTTCGCAATTGTGCCACTGCATTTGCCTTCAAATACAGAGTCACTCCACTTCACACTAAATCTTTGATGCACTTTGTGATGTCCTCCTGATGTGAAATGCGCATTACCAAATGTCGGGATTATTATTACTCCCTTTGCTTCTAACCTCTGATTAATTTCCTTTCACCAGTTGCTAATCCATTTTCAAATCTTGCTTATGACACCCACTTTTATTAGTTTTTAAAGGATTGTTTTCAGTAGAACTCTCACTTTCCACTCCCAAAATGTCTGAGATTGATCCACCAAGATCTACCCTTCTTGTTGGCTGTCATTTGTTGCATTATGTTCATATAGCTGACTTCCATTTTGCTGCTTCAGACTGTTGATTCAGTTAATTTTCCAATCGAGATCAGGCCTAGTTGGTCTACAGTTGCCAGGTATGGACTGGTTCCCCTTTCTTGAATATGGTAACATTATTTGCTTGTTTCCATTCATTTGGACCTCCTCAGTTTTCGTTGATATCCTCAAAATAACTGCATTTGCTTCATAAATCCCCTTGCTTGTTTCTCTACATGCCCTGAGGTACTGTTCATCTATCTTGGGGATTTCCTAGCCTCGTTGAGTTCCCTTCTTGAACCTGTGCATTGCTAATGTCAAAGTACTTTAGCTCACACAATGTTTGGAGGAAGCCATATTGTTTGTGTCTTTCCTGGTCGGAAACCTTCGTGAAGTCAGTAATTGTTCATGTGTTTTTCATTGATCTTTCCTTTTGGCCTTAAGTTTCTGACTGCCACCTAGCTTTTATGTGAAGAGGGCTTGTCAGCATGCATGTACAATGTTTTGTGAAACAGTGTGCTGTGAATAGTATAAACATTGGATCTTCTTTGCAGTTATGCGCCAACTGAACATATTGGGTGGATTAGGCAATAAAACGTAGCACTTTATGCATTTAATCTGCAGCAAAGATTCTAGGGGATGTTGAGCAGATAAATATTCAACAACAACAAATTGCATTTATATAGCACCTTTCACATCGGGTGGATGTCCTTGTAATATAGTTTGTAATAGCTGTTTCAGGTTTTACATTGTAATTTTTTCAATAAGAAACTTAAAACTTTTTTTTAAACTTTATGCTGTATCTTGCTTGTTGAGTTACTTTCAAAGGTTATTATCTGATAGGGAATATCCCTTTTCTGATTTCAGTTACTTGCAGCATTGAGTACATGTTGCTTTGCAAGCGGCTGTGCACTGTGAATCAGGCTCAAGAATTGAAGCGATTCCTCCAAATTAGCAGCATACTTTCTACAATTAGAATTTATATCTGTGTCCAAAATCTAAATCCAAACATTAACCACAATTGGTAAAATTGTAATTAATTTGTCTACTGTCTAACTGGATGTTGGATAACAGGGTGGGGGGGTACATGGCTGAGATTCAACTTGTGAACTCATTGGTGGAATAGTCCGCTGATGAGAAGGGGAGTAGCGATGATAACAGTAAAATTGCAGTCTGGTTGGTTCAGTGGTGTAGTTTTTATCAAGGTTTCGTAAACAAGTCCTAGTAGCACAAGGGAATGATTGTTATAATGAGAGGCTTTTAATAGTAAGTTTGCAGTATATTTAGGAATTTGAATTTTTATTATGATTAGTTTTTATTCTTTGTAATAAGCATATCTCTGTCTCCTCCCATAACGATTTCAAGTACGCGCTGATACTAGAGATGTGTGAGAATTTAGTAAGTTGCCATTCCCCCTGTCCTTGATCCCGACATCCAGGTCGAGTCCGAAACACTGATTGTCCAGCGCCTTGGGATGTCCTACCGACATGAAAGGTGCTATAAAAATAAAATTTTTGTTGTTTGTTGTTTTTGGTGTTAACTTAACTTGAAGAGTTGCCCTCACTTGTAAAGTCTCTCTTACGGTCTAGAGTGAGATCAGGATGATTGTAAATGGGATCCTGTCGTGGGGCCCCCGTGTCGTGTAGCAGGATTGGTGTAACGTTGACGTATGGAAGTTCTTTGTACCTCAGACAGCTGACAGCTTGAAAGATACTATTACTCTGAACAGCTTTTCCAATTGACACCCTCCTGGTCAAGAGGCTGCATAGATCCACAATTCTGGCTGAAGGCCGATGCACATTGGGAAAACTGCAAAATCCGTGGCTCAGCTGGTAGTACTCGTGTAGCAATACTGTTTTTCAAAGTGTTTTTTTCTTTCCTATTGCGTCTCTCCGGTTTACATGTTGCAATGGGCGCAAAATATAGTTTGTTAAAAAGCAGTGTGACACATCAGTGGAACCAAAGCCTGTAATCTTTTCTCATTTTGCACCAGGACAGAAGCTGTCCAAATACATTTCCCCTATCAGAATATCAGCCATTTACCAACGCTGTTCGTTCCAAAGTTTAAATTGGGTGGAAACTTGAGGGTTAAAGAACAAGCAGATCGCTGGTATGAAGTGCCACAGCAAATTAGCAAATGGGCCTTTTCCCAAAAGTTTGGTGTTCAGATTTCACTACTTTGTGGATCAAGATAAATTTTTCTAGGAAACTGCTAAAGTATGTGTCTTGACCTCCTAACCCCCTACCACCCTGTTCGCTCCCTCCCTCAGCGGGCTCCCGCCTGCTTCACGTCCCCCGCCTTGCTCGCCCCACTATCGGCAGGCGGGCCTTCCGCCACTCTGCACCCACCCTCTGGAACTCCATCCTGCAGTCCCTCCGTCTCGCAACCCCTCCTTCGCCACCTTCAAGACCCACCTCAAGACCCTCCTCTTCGACTGTGCTTTCGGTCTCCCTGCTTCCCCCCCCCCTCCCCGCCCTCCATCCTCCCCCTCCCCGACCCTCAGGTCGGGTCCGAAACTCTGTCTGTCCAGCATCTTGGGACATCCTCCCGACGTGAAAAGCGCTATACAAATGTAATTTTGCTGTTGTTTAAATTTGTCAATGTTCACTGAAAATATACAGTGAGCCCACAATGCAGACAGCGAACAGTCTACATGCAAATATAGATATTGTACCAGTTTCACTGAGATGGTTATGAAGGTGGGGACAGAATATTTGGAATTGATGATAATAATAGATTTGCATTTTAATTTCTGAGCCTTTGAGAAGCTTTTTTTTATCTACAATAGCAATATTTTAATTGCAAAAAACAGTTCTTTTAATTGTAATCATGCATCTATCTTAAACATGAAGGATATATCTGTTGACCCCCTCTCTTTTATAAGGTAGGGTGGGTTCACTCCTCTGCAGCGTG